CACCGGGTATCCAGCGATCACCCAGCTCTGGGAAGAGGAAGAGTGCAGCCCACAAGACAGGAAGGACAGTCTCACACACACAGGTGACATCCAGAATCTCAGTGAAACACCGCACAGACATAGGCATTTTCTGAAACAACTTCAGCTTCAAATAGCAGCAACAATGAAAATAGCAGAAAATAAAGCAGCCAGAGTCCACAAGCACCAGAACTAGCATTACCCTCTCCACTACTGGGAAGAATGCAACAACAAAGTTGATTACAGTGTTGCTCATGAGGACAAGTTCAGCAAGGAAGATTTTTCCAGACACATCTTAGACCAACTGGAATGCACAATTGTTCTCTTGCAGGATTAGAAGAATCCAGAAATCAAACAACCACACCCACAGGATCTTTAGCTGGAAGAAATGAAAGGCAAACTCCACGTGATTAGGAGAAGGATGACAAATCACAAAATCATCTATATCCTTGGGCATCAATGCAACTAGTGAAAAAATTGTATGGAGCAATTATGACACACCACAAATATCAGAAATTACTGTAGTATATACAAGAATTGTGTTTTCATAGAAGAATCTGCCATTGGGAATCCTACATAATCTAGTTGTTTTCAACACCCTAAGTGTAGTTCTTCCTTCTTCCTGATGTTTTGATTTCACAGTTCAAAGAACTGGTAGCTCCTTTTCACAAAACTACTACTCTCTCAAGTCAGTTTTTCCATAAACTGAATTGTGAAACATGTATTCGCTAAAGCTCTTCAAATAAGATGTCTCATTCTAGGAGAGAGAAAAAAATATGTTTGATGACAACTCATTATTTAGCCAGTGCTGAGAAACCTTAAAATTAGCTGAAAAAGAGATACAAGCATAATCAATGTAAAAGCAGGCTAACAGAGTCACTTTTGACCAGCTGGAAAAGCTAAATATCTTAATGATTAAGTCTTAATTATTTTTAAAATATCTACTGAGTAATATCTTAATGGTTTTTGAGGCAAATAGTACAATGGCATTTGCTGAGACATCCGATTTTTAAATTTTTTTTATTTTTTTTTTTTACTAGTAAGGCAGTTCATTAGCTCAATAGTATTTGGTAAACATCTGATGAATACATGAGAAGTTTTTTGAACCGTCTGAGAAAATCCACCTTTTCCTCTTACCCCTACATTGCATCCAGTAGCTCTCACCCCACTTTTTAAGCTTCCAGCTCCCTCTCCTCCCTTCCTCCACACAAGTTCCTTCTCCATCCAGCCTGTTTCCTCCTTAGAAGGATTCTCCCTATGCTCCTGCCCTCCCAAGGGCCTCGCTGTGCCAGCACCTGCGTTCCTCTGCAGGGGAACCCCGCGTCTCAGCTGCGCCTGACCCGCACAGCCACGTTTCCACCCCATCACCTGTGCAAAGCTGCTCTGCACTTCACCCGCGGCGGGCTGCGCTCCCCGCTCTTCGTTAGGAAACAGCGAAAATATCGCTACGTAAACACGCGATACAGCTGCTAGCCTGCGGAAAGTGCATCTCTGGCCTCCTTCACGGGGAGCTCAGCACTCCCGAGCGCGCCGGCAGCGATCAATCACCGTTGTTGTTGTCACCCGCACCGCCCCGAGTAACGCGGCGAGCGGCCAGCCGCGGCAGGCAGGGCCGGCTCCGGGCACTCGGGAACCCCTTCCCAGTCTCCCCGGCGAGCACTCACGCACCGGGGCCGCCCTGCCCGGAGCCCCGCACAGGAGGCAACGCCAGCTCCCGCTCCCGGGGACATCGCACCCGCCCAGCGACC